ATTATTATTATTATTATTATTATTATTATTATTATTATTATTATTATTATTATTATTATTATTATTATTTTTCCTTAGCTTAATTCTTTTGTTTTAGGATAGTCACCTTTTTGATACCAACAAAGTCATTTTCAGCAGCGGTGCGGTTGTTAATTTCTTCTTCATATCTGTGAAGAGAAGGAATGTAGACTTTCAGTCCTCTTCAAAGAAAATATCAGGCAAAGAAAATGTCATATAAAAAGATGCCAATCAATAGCTTTCAATGGCCTTGACCAGGCTGTCATAAAAGCATCTCTTCTAGGGGTGGGGGTGGGGGATGTCTATACCAGTTCTAAATTATATGTGGCACAACAACGATATTAAAAAAAAAAGACTTACCCATTTTATAATACTGAGTCAAACCAGCTGCAAGGAATATCAAGCACGAATTATATATATCGCTCCTGATTGTCATACAGAGAGGACATTTCACTAAAGTCACCAACATTTATTTTACATCCCATGCTTGAGGTACCTGAGTTTCAACAGTTTTTCTCCTCTAAAACAGTGTCTGACTTACATTACCAGTCCATTAAGTTGCCTGCTGGAACTTGGCCATCATTTCTGCATATGAAGGATTGTCATCTTTCATCATTGCTGCCAACAGCAGGTCATTACAAGTGTTGGATGTCAATGTTTAAATAATCAGCTATTTATTATTTATAATTTATACTTCAATCATAGTTTATTCTAAGCAGTTTGATTAAGAACAAAAAACCTAAAAACTATACTGGATCAATTATAGCGCAGAAATTAACACAATATAATTCAGTCAGCATCCATCAACATACATTCATGGCATTGCAATCTCTAACTGAGTGGTTAGACTTTGCACAATAGCTGAGATTTCACAGGCTTTTGGAATGCCATAAAGGGATGAGTTATTCTTGCTTCATATTACATATGTAATACATTATGTCTATGCAGCACTCCCAAATCAGAAGTCTTGGTAATCTGTTGTAACCTCTCCAGCTGATTTCATTTTTCCCCAGGTTGGGACAACATGAGCTCTATAATGCTACTGTACGATTATGAAAATTACATTTGCATAAATATAGTTCATGTTTTATTTTTATTTTTCATTTCCCTATTTATTCTTATCTTTTTCTTTATCTTCATGTTAGCTTGTTAATCTGAAGCTTTTACATTTTTAATTATAATTGCAAAAAATCAGTCAATTTTATTTTTAAGGACAGCCCTATAATATATGGGCATAGAACAAGCACATATAGCATGAATATATCGCTTCCACTATATCATGTGCTCTGCGTGTGTATGTTTTCACCAGTTTTCATATAGTATCAATACTCTTATTTTAATCTGAAACAACATCTCAAAGCTATTAATTTAAATAATAATCTTCCAAAATAAAATTAAAGGAGGAGGCAAGTAGCTTTGTCAAATTCATTACAATCTGGCTAGGAATTTAAAGCTTGGTGGCACTACACAAAATTGTTGTTGTTATAAACATTCTTATTCCATTTATATTATCATATTTGGTTGTTATTCCATGAGCATGGTTCAAAAAAAAAATCATGCCAGTTTCCATTTCATGTTATTGTAACTGTTTCCTGAGCATATTTGGTTTAATTGTTATCAGAAGTTTTCATAATCCCCATTTTATGAGCCAAAAGGCTTTTCAGTGAACCTGTAACTGCTTGCTTTAATGTCCTCATATCTTTGATAAATCAAAAATGTCTCCACCCAAAACCACAAGCTCGAGTTCATGCCAAATGCCATAGCCACACAGCTATCAGTTGGGCATAGTTACAAGGAAGAGAGGGTAGGATGGGCTGCTGCAGCTTCTTCACAGGATCCTTTGGGTACTTCCTCCTGGCCCACAAGCAGGGGTGGGTTGCTGTCGGCATTATTGCTGGTTCAGCATGCAAAAAATATTTTAACATTTTTCAGTTTTCATTTCCAGTACATATCAATAGATATGATCCACATAAACCAAAGCTTTTGGGGCTCCTCAATCATTTTTAAGAATATGAAGGAGTTCTAGAATGCTCTATCTGACTCTGTTGTTACTTCCTCAAACCCCCATAGCTTCAACCTTAAACTGTCTACTGTGGATCTCACATCATTCCTAAGAGGTCTGTAAGGGGATGTGCATACGCGCACCAGGGTGCCTACTGTCCCTGTCCTACTGTCCCCATTTATTTGTATTCATTTCTTGTGCTCATGTCCATGTTTATAGTTATACCTGTTATCTTGTACATGTTTGACAAACTAAATAAATAAAATAAACAATAAAATGCTTGAGAATGCAGACAGCAAGCAAACAATGTGGTTAGGGAAAATCAAATATGTTTATTTTCTGCCTGTTTTAGCTTTTCATTTTGTGTTAATTTTGTTATAAGGGAAGGTCTTAAATCTTTTATGACCCATATACACGCTTTCAGACTGAATGGTGCCATCCTGACCCTTCTCATCCCATCGGCTTTGGTAAGAATGCCTTGGAATCCCACTTACTTCCTTCGGTTGTCTTCTACAAGATCCTGTACGTTTCTTAGCTCTCCATCCAACTTTGTCCGGTCGCCTCTTAACGCATCAATTCGCTTTCTGAGGTTAAGCAAGTAAGCCTCGAATATGGACTCTAGGCCGAAGTTTGGAGCTGAGCTGCCATGTTGTTGCAGGAGATTCCATTTTGTTTCTAGTACTTTATTCTGTTGCTCAAGAAACCGTACCTGAAGTCCAGAGAGAGACAGAGACAGAGTAATGTTTTTAGAAGCCCTCTTAGATTGGAATGCACACCTTGTTATATAATGAGGACTAGCAGCATTCAAATCAAGGGATGACAACCAAGTACCATGTGCGGCAAGACAACCAGGAGGCCACCCAAATCCTTAACAGATCAACCAGGTGACGGCAGCAAAGATTTAGAATTTTGTACCTTTCTTTTCTGTCATCCAGAAGTAATCCAGACGTTGCACCTCAGATCTTATAACCCGGTCACTAAATCATGTACGTGCACAAAAAATATATTACTTCGTTGGATTGTGGATAGATGGTTTCATACTTATTTGCTAAAAACAAATAAGGCTAAATATGTATGCTTCCCCTTGTGTACCTCAGGAAAGAGTACATCCCATTAATAATCTGTACCTTAGGAAATATGGAGCTGGGCAAAATTACTTTAAATTACTTTGTCATCTTTTGTTAAAAAAACAAAACAAAAACTCTCTGGCATTAATAGTGCTGCAAACTGACCAGGGGGAAAAATAGTAGCAAATTGCTATAAAAATAGCTACCTTTCTATCAACGCATGAGCAAATGTCAATCCCAAAATGATGGTATAGTTAATTTTGTGTTGAATCTAGAACCATGGATACCGTTTTCATGACAGTCTAAACACTACATGAATGGCTGCATTGTGAACATTGCCAATTAACTTTGAGAAAAAAGAGAAGTATATGTATTCTTGTTATATTCTTGCACAAACATAATGTGCAGGACAGTGGTGGGTTCCAATTTATTTTACTACCGGCTTGCTCGTGCGTGTGCCCATCCGGGGTGAACTAGCAGAAACCCACCTCTGGTGCAGGTAAAAAAGAATTTCCCAGGAAAAATATTCCTTACTGACATTTCACATCAAAATTCTCATAGGACAGTTGAGAAGCTGCAGTTTCACAAAATTAGTGGGTAGCTTCATCATATCTAAAAGCCTTGCTAGAGTATAATTGATGTAGCATCTATGCCTTGGAGCGATTTTGCATCTCGTCAACTGAGATGGAAAGTATAGAGAACCATCATCACTGCCACTACAATTACGTCTGTGAGTATAGGGACTTACATTCTGTGCAGAGGACTGTAATTTCTGTTTCCAAAGGCCTTCTGACTATTGCTAAGACTGGCTACATTACAGGTAGTCCTCGACTTACGACCACAATTGAGCCCAGAATGTATGTTACTAAGTGAGAAATTTGTTGAGTTTTGCTCCCATTTGACAACTTTCCTTGCCATATTTGTTTAAGTGAATCGCTGCACTTGTTAAATTGCTAACACAGTTGTTAAATGAATCTGACTTCCCCATTGACTTTGCTTGTCAGAAAGTTGCAAAAGGTGATCACATGACCCCAGGACGCTGCAACTGTCATAAACTAGTTGTCAAGCATCCAAATATAAATCATGTGACCATGGGGGTGGGACAATGGCCATAAGTGTGAAAAATGGTCATAAGTCACTTTTTTCAGGACTGTTTTAATTTCAAACAATCACTAAACAAACTGTTGGAAATTGAGTACTACCTATATTTTAAGAGCTACAGGCTCAAAAATATTTTCAAGCTTGAGTTAAAAATCTCTTTAGGAGAACTTGTATTCAAATTTACAAAAAAGATACTTAGGATGAAACATAGCTACTGCTGCTTGAAGATGCTGTAGTGCAACAAAAACAAATCACCCTATGTCATAGATGTAAGAGATTTTTTTTTGTCAACTCCTTTTCCTATGGAGCTCTGGGAGTTGTAGTCTTATATATAACATGTGAGGTGAGTGGTAATGTAGCTGCTGAAACTCTGAATGATTTCCTAAACGTGTTCTGTGAACAATGTATTGTGGGAATCCTGATTTCACTCCTCCAGCCTTGGAAGAATAGCAGGAACTTAGAATCTTGGGAATTTTTGCAAAGGGCTCTCAGATTACAACATTCAAACCAGAGGTGGGTTGCTGCCAACATTGCTGCCAGTTCACTGCACGTACATTTTGCATGTGCCGCGCATGTGCACAGTTGAAAGTAAATTGTTTTGCGCATGCGCAGAACATTAAAAATGATTAAATACTACCCGGCAACAGCCAGGCTACCAGGGAACTGATTCAGGAGCGTGTCCAGCCAGCCATGTCTACCAGTTCGGCGAGCAAGTTCCAATTTCCACTACCGGTTTGCCCAAACTGGTGCAAACCAGTAGAAACCCATCTCTGATTCAAATCCTGAAAATTCAACTCATACTGTTTTGCAGCATAAGAGTCTCATAATAATGGTGTGAGCTGTGATCTCTGAGATTATCAATTATCAATTATTATTATTATTATTATTATTATTATTATTATTATTATTATTATTATTATTATTATTATTATTATTATTATTATTATTATTATTATT